GGCCTCACGGTCGTTACCGGCGACGTTGGAAAAAAAACAACAACGACAGTCCGATCTGCAGAGGGTCTGATTAGGGGCCCGACTTGCATGTTCTTCAATGTTCTCTGTGGTGTGTGCCTGTGGTGAGAAACAACGCGAATCCAGCTACCGCAGTGGAGAACACTGCGGGGAGGCATGTCGTTTACGTGGGTGGCTGAGTCGGGTTTTGTGGGGTTTGTTGAAGAAGCCTATAACCTTCTTTTTTTCTAATCGTGGGCTCCTTCCAAGTTCGGATCCTGACGAACTTCGAGGACCGCGCTTGCTGTGGACGTTCGCGAGAGCCACCTTCGATTTGCGGTGGTTGACGCACGATCGTTGCCAGGAATGCAGAAGTAGGCATTGCCGGTTCACATGTGTGCGTAGTCGATTTGCAGAATGGGGGTTCTTGGGGGATGCATAAGGGTCTTCGAGGTCTGGTCGTTATCTGCGTTGCCGCCTTGTCACTCGACTTACAAAATGGGGAGTTTCTGAGGGTGCATGAGGGGTTTTTCCAACACACGAGCTCGCCTTTTAACGATTAACATGTTTCGCCCCATTTGTGATCCTGGACTATCGGACGTGTTCTGATTGTCGGAGGCCAAAAGGTGCGCAAAATGCTGGCGTTAAGAACTGGCTTATAGGGGTTTATGGGGGTCGCAGGCGTTTTCTGTTACCGGGTCTGTTTTCGCTCTGCGGGCGGTCTTCATTGCCCTCCGAGCGGAGTCATCATTGCGATGCGTCGGTAGCGCGCGTGGCGGAGCACGTCTTCTCGAATAGACGAATCGGGGTTTGTTGGGGTCGCAGGGAGGTCTGCCAGACATGGTCATAGTGTTCTTCTCCACGCAGCAAAGAACTTTCATGCCACAGGAAATCGTGCTGACAGCACAGATGATCGGGGTTTGTGGGGGTCGGTTGTGGGCGTTGATGAGCCGTTCCGGGGTTCGGTGCATCCATTAATGGCCTCCCTTTGTGCATCCGCTAACCACCCATTCCAATGACTATGGCCGCGTGAAAAACTGTTCATCGTTGCACTGGCACCCGCCAAGTTCGGATCTCGGCGGACTTTGAGGATCCGGGCAAATGTAACCTTCATTTGCATGTGCCCTGGACCTTCGCAAGTGATTTGCTTGCTAGTAAACTGGGGCTGCGCAAAATTGCTCGCCTTCTGAATTACCCTTATGGGGGTTTATGGGGGGTTACATCGGTGACAGTGGCCGGGTCAGTTCTCGGTCTGCGGCCGATCTTCGTTGCCCTCCAAGGATTTTAACCGCCGCGATGCGTGGGGTCTTGTCGCTGTCAAGCTCGAGTTTCGGCGTGCTTAGCGGTTCGCGGTGACACACGTCGACATTGCCTGCGCGCGAATCGGGGTTCGCCTTGTCGACAGGTCGAATCGAGGTTTCAAAGAATTGCAGGGGGGGGTTCGCATCCATTTGTACATTTTTCTTGTCCGCGCAGCAGAGATGTGCGAGTTCCACAAGCTCTTCCACTGGTACCTCTGAATGGAACACCGCACGAGCTCGCTTAGACGATTGTAATGACACTCGGTGTTCATAGGGGTCAATTTGGGGTCGCGATGCGTCTATTTGACGAGCGGTGCATCCACCACCACCCTTTCTTCTGTGTGTGCAATCGTACAACGGACACTTGAGACCAGCAGAGCCTTCCTTCTGTGCGCCCAAACATAGCGTCAGTTGTGTGCACCCGCTGCCACTCCCTTCCAATGGCACTAACCGCGCTAATACCGCTTCCTTGCTACTCCATTACCCGCCAAGTCCGGATCCCGACGAACTTTGAGACTCCGCGTAAATCTGGCCGTCGTTTTCGACGGCTTGGACTTCCCCGTGCGTTTTCATTGGCGGCGGCCTGGTGGTGCCCAAAAGTGCTCGCCTTGTGAATTGCCCTTCATAGGGTTTATTGGGGTTGTCGACGGTGTCAGTGGCCAGGTCTATTTCCGGTCTGCCGTCGATATTCGTTGCCCTCCAATAAAAGCAGTCATCGCAATACGTGTGCTTTAGTCGCTGACATGCTTCTGCCTCCGCGTGCTTTGCGGTTCGCGCGGTCAGATGTCGACATTGCCATCGCACAAGTCGGAGATCGGCTTCTCGATTTCACGGATCTGGATTTGTTGGGGTTCCAGGGGGGTCTTTCACCCATGGTTATATTTTTCTTCTACTCGCCGCCTGGATCAGCGGAGATGTACTACTTCCACGACCTTTTCCACTACTGCCTCTGAATGGAACACCGCACGATCTCACTTTGACGATGGTAACATGTTATTCGTTAAAATAGGACATTGTATTTTAAATTGGTACTCGCAAGCTTTAAATTTCATATTAAAATCATCATATTTTAGACTTAAATGGAACTTGGGGCTACGAGTATTGAACCCGATGATTGCAATTGACAAGTCATAAATTGAAACTGAACTGAAGATTCAAGGCAATCATGTACTGAGCATGATGGTTAAAGTGTGGATTCCATTGCACTTCCCTAAATTTTGTAACTTAAAAGCCGTTACGGTAATTGACATCCATAAATTGGAACTTTATCGAACTTCAAGACTAACTTTTAGGCAATAACACGGTAAACGAGATGGTTTAAGTATGGATTCCATCGCACTTTATGGAAGACTAACTTGAAGGCAATCACACGGTAAACGAGATGGTTTAAGTATGGATTACATCGCACTTCGATAATTTATGTAACTTAAAAGACGTAACCGGTGGACTTGCATAAATTCGAACTCAATCGAAGAGTTAACTTTTAAGACAATCACACGGTTTACCGTCTGATTGCCTTAGAGTTAAGTATGGATTCCATCACACTTCGATAATTTATGTTACTTAAAAGATATTATCGGCATATCATTGTCATACATTGAAATTCGCTGACACTGGAAGGTGCACGTAATAAGACATTGAACGATAAGGTTTTGAATGACCTCAGAGTCTGCATGAATTTTGACTAATTTTGAGTGGAGCGTATTTGACATGACATTGTGTCAAGCAGAAATTGGATGTCAATGGAATAGTTGATGCAATCACACGGCAAACGAGATGGCAAACGAGATGGTTTAAGTACTATGGATTCCGTCGCACTTCGGCAAATTACCATAAACTGACATGACATTATCATGAACTTAAAATCAAGTGAGTACCATGAATTCCGTCGCACTTCAAGAAATATCGTAACAAGATTGAACTACGAATGCTGAGTCTAAATTAAATGCTACGAGCCGCCACAATCTAAACTTTCGAAACGGTTTCCGCTATCATACATAAATGTAAAGCATCTACAAGTGTCCCCGAACATCTACATAATTTCTGTATCTTCTCCAGAACCACGCAATCCACATGCGCAAGGGCGAATGGGATACGAATAATCATGTCTCATTTCTTCTGTCGCATAGCCTACACAATACGTGACATGCACACACGAGCGAAAACGAAATGTCGGTAAAGTAGAAACATCAACACATGATGAAGTTAACTTCAGAAATTGCTTAACCACCACCCAACCATCTGAAAAACATCAACCCTAAACTGTGTACAAAATCTGCCAACTCGTCGTACAACAGACTCGTCGCAATTCACCAAGTCAAAAGAGAATATAGTCCGTTCCTAATTCCCGTCCGAATAGTCATTCCCTTCCGCACATGGACTTAGATCTCGAAGTGCAGCTTCAGCGTTCAGTCGAACGTTGGAAGGAATGACAAGTCCAGTCGTGAACGGCTTTGTACCTCTACCTGGCCTCTCCCAACCAAAAGCGATCGAGTCGGCATGTTGTCATTGTGTCTGGTCAGTCTTCTTCCATTTTTTTTCCCATGCGTTATCGTACAATTCTTCGAGCGACTTTGCTCTCCTGGTTGGCACCCAGTATTCTACGAGCACTTCATTACAATTTGGCAAATCCTTTTCACGAACCACCTGCGATTGTGCTCTTCCCACCCAAATAGGCACGCCTTTCGAAATATCGTCGTCGGAGGGGCGAAGGATAAGAAAAGTGCCGACGTTGATATGCTCGAGGGGGTCGAAACTGGTCTTCGGGCGATCTTTTCTACGTCCAACGAATAGGGGTTCCCTGTCGTCGATGTTGGCATTACTAGGAGAAGATTGTTGATCGTTTTCGAAGGGACGAGGACTTGGCCAAAAACCTTTCTGAGGTTGTGTGGACAACCCGTTCGTGATGATCTCGTCGCCACGTTTGATAACCTCGTCCCAGTACCACAAAGCTCTTTCTCCTCGACTCACCTCATGTTCTTTGAAAGTGCACCATGTTGACCGCCTGCTCTCCAGCAACTCGCGGAATCGAATAACACCATGTTTGTCATTCAGATAGTGTTTCCGAGGAACAGGCTTCGCGGGAGGCGGGTCAAATGGCCAAGGAGAGACCTGCGTAGCTTCCATCGAGGTTCTGATTGAACCAATAAATCGGACCTTCCTCGGGCAGCCAGTTGTCGTCATCGCAAAACTCCTTGTACAACATGCCCGGGTTATCTCCAACCGTAAAAAATTTAAGCAAGTGTGGTTGGGAAATACCGGTAATGTCTGACGCAACGCATGGGTCTACTATACTTATAAAATCTGCCAATGTGTCGAGGAAAATACATTTGGGAGGCTTTTTGTTGGATTGCTCTATGAGCTCAAACAACTCGTCCATAGTATAAGCGTCTGTGTTTTTCAATTTCTTCGAGAAGACACTGAAAGTAGCATCAACGTCCGTATGGGTATGTCCCACCAGCATGAAACCTATTTCCACCTCTTGGAAAACATTGAACTTCACCAACAGTGCAGCCAGTGCACATACGTACTTGTTCTTGTTTTCCCGCCAACAATTATCTGCTTGAATGCGCAAAAAGGGTGGTAGTGACCCCCCAGTCGCTTGAATTTCGACGAGGGTTCGCGTGAGACAAGTAACGACTGTGTTCGAATCGTGTTTGAAATACAAAAACCACGTGTACACATAAATACGAGGGTCTCTACCGTGTGCAATGACACCGGTCAGAGTCGTTTTCATCACCGTCTCGTGCCTAAGGTCTTTCGAGTAGTTCGCCTGACCAATATGGGGGATAGTCGTCTTCTTCTGATCCATGCCGTCAATGATGAGACATAAACGCTCGTTGGGACGGACCATCGATTCAATCTTCGCACAACTATAGTCCAATCTGTGTTCAACTTGCTGCCTTTGGTAAGCTTTCATCTCCCCCCTAGCTCTTTCTCGATCTCGAGGAAGAGCAGCGTGTTGTATACGCTCTTTCAGTTCATGACAGACGGCACACTTCGTGAATGTGTTAGAGTGTGCGAGCGAAACRTGGTAATAGTGTTTTTGCCACAGTTTATAAAAGTTGGACTCGGACACGACCTCGAGGCCGACGGCGACAAAGTCTGATTTGATGGACTCATAAATAGATCTCTTCGTAAAAGTTGCTGGCAGTCGAAGCTTCGGTCTGTAAACCCCACCCTTGTGAGCCATCTCATTCAGCATGCTATCCACATGACACTCGATGAAATTTTTCATGCTGGCAAGCATGGCGACAGTCTTTTCTGTTGGCTGATGTATACCCCTCAACCCATGCTCACAACGTATGAAGCCATTATCGAAGCGCTTCTTGTAGCTATAAAACGTATTACGAGAGACACCAAGAACGTTGCAGTACGCCTTGACACACATCGAACGTTCCAACTCTACAGGACGGACTCGTTTGTGGCCGCCCTCACTCAATGTGAAATCTTTAAGACTTTTCATCCACCGCTCTGCTCGGTCTTCTGGACTCTTACTGTACAGTCCTTGTCTAACCTGTCGGACTTCCTCCGGCGACATGTTGTAACAACAACGAGCCTTGCAACATGCTATGCCACGAACCATGAGCAATTTTCTTTCCGACAGCATGTCTTTTGCTCTTTTGTATTGTTCTTTCCTCCTAGCGTTCCTATTAGCCATGCTATACGGTCTTCTTTCCCCTGGCAGAGACACTGGCAAAATTTCGAGTATTGCCATGTTATCTGCATCACTTCTGCCAGACGATTCCGACGTATAGTGACTCTGATCAGGAATCGCATTCTGAGATCGGACTTGCGTTGGACTTGCCCGTGTCGTGGACAGTTCCTCCAAAGAATAGTTGGTGTCAACCAACTTTGAAGTACTGGAGGTAGCGCGAATCGAAGGTGCACTGGAAGAGGATTGTTGTCCAGACGAGTAATCAGTGGCCACCAACTTCTCACTCTCGTCATAAGATGCTGCAAAAGAAGCAGGCATTGACACGCAACTGCTCTGCGCCGAAGTTGTCGGGTGCACCTCGTCAGGAATGTGGAACTCGATCCGGGAGGCAAACGGTTCTTTGCCTGCGGACAGTGTCGCTAAATCCGTAGGCAGTTGGATGCAACCTCCAAAGCTCTCCCGGAAGCGAGACTTCGTTTTCTGGGGAAAGCTGCAGTGGACTGTTGGAATGACGAACTGTCCGAAGAGCTGGTCGGGGCCAAGTCCAGGTGTTGTAGCTGGCGATGCCCGGTTCATGCGGCCATTCGCTGAGCTGCCCTTGGCACCGTGATGTAACCGTCGGTGTAGCGGATGCGATTCCCGTCAGCGAAATCGATTATACTCTCCAATGCGGATTGAACGGGTCATTCAAATTCGTCTCCACACCTTGCAAAACAGCAGAGCAAACTGTAAGCACGAACACTAAAGAATGAAGTTCGAACTCCACCCCCCCTCCCACCCCCACCCTCCCCATACCCGATTCCTGGTGCAGCGTCTGAATAGAGCGAGCTAGTCTGTAGGCGATTACAGTCCCGACAACCGAATTGGCATGAACGATGAGACAAACCTCGATATAAGAAATGTGCCGACATCCGAGCTTGGCATAGACCAGAATCCTTTGAATGCGATAATTGCATGTGGCGAAGGGCACCCGAATTTTTCTTGCATTGACTCTGGCGTTACTAATTGTGCCGACAGGAAACGGAGACACCCTTCCCCCTTTTGCTTTTTATACTTCTATAGTTGGACGTTGAAGTCCGTAGCAGTTGTCAAAGTCAAACCCCTTGACCTTTTTTAAGGCCTCCGTAGATGGAACTCAACTGCTACAAAGGGCCTTGGCCCACCCACCCGTTACTCCCTCCGGTTGCTGGAGAGGGTAGGTCCCATAACCGTCTTGGCGGTTGTCTAGCATCGAGAGGTAAGACCCTGAAGGAGCTTGTCAGTCGACACTTGAGTGTCGAATGAGACCCTCGGCGATGCCGAGGGCCACATGAGTATGGAGAGCATATAACATGCCATCGCTTCGACTGCTTGCGAACTCATGCATGGGAAGTCGTTATGAGGAAGCCTGTGTCCGGCCCACATTTATAGATGTTTACCTCGCACTGCCTGTAAAAGGTTAGTGACATTTGGTTATGGGTCCAACATCCCACGGGTCAGGCGTGAATCTTTGTTGTTTATTTATCGACCCATTTATTTCATCGTTGCTTGACGTACTTCCGGGAGGATGTGTCCTATTATGAGTTAGACGTGCACAAGGAGCGGTCCGACTGTCGTGGAATCGCGAAGTCCGCCGGGACCCGAATTTGGGAGAAATCGAATCGACGGCAAACCGGTCATGAATTGGTCGCTGTGAATTGACTGTCGGCCAATCGTGATCAGGAATGCAAGACTATGAGAGGTAGGAGGCTAGAGAAAACATGGCTTAATGACCCTCAGGCGACCCCCACAAACCCCTACTAACCGCACATCGATCAGGAGGCTGTGTGCTAGGACTCCAAGCCTTTGCGCGGCTTCGACACTGAAGCGCCTTCGCACGCGGACGACATTTACGACTGCCACCACCAACAACCCCCATATACCCCAGTCACGGCACCACACACGGCGAGGTTGACTGCGCACCCATAGCTCTCCGACAACGAAAACATACGCAATGGACCAGGCCGTGGAAAGAGACGGTTAGCATCACCCGGAACTCGAAAGTTCACCGTGATCCGAACTTGGCGGTTTCTTATGGCGCCAAGAATGTTTCCACGCTCTCCCGCAGTTAGAAGAAAGGCTAGTCGCGGGTGTCAGAGTCACCCCGACCCCAATCGACCCCTGTTAACACCATTGTTGGCCCCAATCGACCTCTGTTAATACCGATTCTCCCTATCGACAAAACGAGCCCGTTCGGTGTAAGAGTCACCCCGACAAACCCCGATCCGTGTAATTGACAAGGCGATCTCCGAAGTTGGCGGTTGCAGGAGTGGCGAGGTACCGGTTTAGGAAGTTGGCGATCGCAAAGTCCGCCGGGATCCGAACTTGGCGGTTGCAGGAGTGGCGAAGAAGCGGTTTCTGCGTGGCACGTCAAAGATTTGGAGGGTCAGCGGATGCATACAAGGAACGGTATGTGTGGGCGTATCGAATAAAGGCTCTGCCGCACTCGAACGTCCGCTGGATGAGATCATGCATAGAAGAAAGGGCAGTGGTGGATGCAGTACTTCAGAAATTGGTGCTGCAGGATGCCCAATTGACCCCTGTTAACACCGATTCTCCCCATCTTGAAAGCGAGCTCGTCCGGTGTTTCAGTCACACCTACGATTTGAACAGCTCGTGGAACTCGCACATCTCCGCGGCGTGGACAAGAAAAACGTAGCCGTGGCTGATTGAACCCCCATGCAACCCCTACAAATCCTGAGTGGCCAAGGCGACCCCCAATTCGCGCTCTGGCGACGTCGACGTCTAATAGAGCGAACCGAAAAGCACGCCGGAACACGAGCGTGCCAGCGACAAGTCTCCACGCATCGCGACTGTTAAACCCCCTTAAACCCCTATAAGGGCAACTCACAAGGCGTGTAATTTTGAGCATCCACAGTACTCTCGCGAGCACTTCTGCATACGAAAAGGTCTCTGACAATGCAAACACATGCGAGAGCCCTGGTCGTTAAATAGTGTGCTTTGATATAGGCGGAACCTCAAAGTCCGCCAGGATCCGAACTTGGCGGCTGCAGGATTGGCGAGGAACCGTTTTGGAGGTTGAATAGTGCGCTTAGATTAAGGCGGAACCTCAAAGTCCGCCAGGATCCGAACTTGGCGGTCGCAGGAATGGCGAGGAACCTTTTTTTCCGCGGCCCGTCGGGGAGTGGAAGGGAGGGTCATAGGGTGCGCACAAGGAACGATATGCGAGGGTGTATCGAATAAAGGCTCCGCCGCTCTCGAGTGTCCGTGGAACGAGAGCACGCACGGAAGAAAGGGCAGTGGTGGATGCAGCACTTAACAGTCTGGCGCTGAAGGACCCCACAAATGACCCCTGTTAACAACGATTCTCCCCATCGTCAAACCAAGGTCGTCCGGTGTTTCACTCACAGCTACCAGTAGCACAACTCGTGGAACTCGAACATCTCCGCAGCGGGGACAAGAATAAATTTAGCCTTTGCTGAAAGACCCCCCTGCAACCCCTACAAACCCTTGTGCGTGCAGTCGAGACGGCGACCCCCAATTCGAGCGCTGAAAACGTCGAAATGTGACCGCGCGAAATGGAAAGCACGCCGAAACAGGAGCATGTCAGCGACAACACTCCACGCATCGCGACGGTTAAACCCTTTGGAGGGCAACGAAGATCGACGGCAGACCGAGAACGGAACTGGCCTCTGTCACTGGCGACGACCCCCATAAACCCCTATAAGCGCTTTTCGCAAGCCCGCAGCACTCCCACGACCACTCCTGCACACCAAAAGGTTTCTGACAATCTGATCACATTCGGCATGCCAGGCCGTTGAAAAGTGTGGTTAGATTTAGGCGGGACCTCAAAGCCCGCCGTGATCCGAACTTGGCAGTTGCAGGTGTGGTGGGGAACCGTTTTCTGCGCCGCACGTCGGATCGTGGAGGGGTGTGCGGCCGTATCGAATAGAGGCTCTGCCGTCCTCGAGTGTCCGTGCAACGAGAGCACGGACAAAAGAAAGGGCCATCTTTGATGCAACACTTTACGAATCGGCGCAGCAGGACCCCCAATTGACCCTTGTTAACACCGACTCTCCCCATCGCCACACAAGCATGTCGTACGCTGTTTCACTCACAGCTACCAGTACAACACCTCGCGGAACTCGCACCTCTCAGCGGCGTGGACACGAAAAATGCAGCGGTGGGCGAAAGAGCCCCCTGCAACCCCTTCAAACCCCGGCTCGTGAAGTCGCGAAGGCGACACCCATTTCTCGCACTGGAAACATCGACGTGTGTTAGCGCGAACCGAAAAGCACGCCGAAACACGAGCATGTAAGCGGGCGCACACAAGCGTGGACGGTGGACAGAGAACGGACACGGCCTCTGCAACTGATGACAACCCCCATAAACCCCTATAAGGGCAATTCGGAAGGCGATTAATTTTGAGTACCCACATAAACCCCTATAAGGGCAATTCGCAAGACCCTCTGCTCGCAAGCGCTTCTGCATACCGAAAGGTCTCTTACAATGCAAACCATCGCGACAGGCCAGGCCGTCGAATAGTGTGGTCTGATTCATCCGGAAACTAAAAGTCCGCCGGGATCCGAACTTGGAATCGGCAGGAGTGGCGAGGAACCGGTTTCTGCGCTGCACGTCGCAGATTGGGAGGGAGGTCAGCGGCCGCACACAAGCTGTTGCTCAACCCCCTTTAAACCCTCATAAGGCAATTCTCAAGGCTGGCACTTTTGTGCACCGAACGGTATCCGGCAACCAAACACATGCGAAAGCGCGGGGCGTTGGTAAGGGCGGTAAAATAAATGGCGAACGTCGAAGTCCGCTCGAATCCGAACTTGACAAAAAGACAGTGTTTTGTTTTTGCTGTGGGCGCTGCTATATTTGTGTATTTATGCGGCGACACCATGCCGGAAGGAACACGAAAAGAATCACCTAAGCAGCTCGCGGCGTGGCAAGCGCCAAACCGCAAGTCCGCCAGGATCCGAACTTCGTGTTGTCGCCCTCAAGGCGCTGGCGGACGCCATTGCAACAAGAAGCGCGAAACCAATAACCGCCAACCAAAAAACGGCAATGGTGGGTAGGAATACCAGGCGGAAAGGGAAGTCCGGATACGGGCGAACTACAACAATCAAGCTGTGTGTTCTCACGGGCGTTGTTCGTTATTCAACGAGGCCATCGCCACGAAACACGTGGCGCACACGGCGAAGAAACACCATCCAAGTCCTGGCGTTGATCGTACGCAATGCTCCATGGCATCACTCACGACCAGCGCTAGGAGCGAGCGCTGATCATCCCCCGTCTCTCGGATGGATGATGTTCACGTCGTGTGTACGCACATACGTGGCGTTGGGCGTGCACAATGCGGTGGCGCATCGCGCACTACCAACGCCAAGAGCGCGCGCTGATCGTCCACGTGCTTTCGGATGGAGACGACACCAGCTCCCCCTGGATTGGCGCCGTAGAGTGCGCGCTGATCATCCACGTGCTTTCGTGGTGAGCGGCACGTGGATGATCGACATCCTCCGCTTGAAGGCCAAAGCGCGTTTTTTGAAATAGACCATGGTCGCGCGCAGCCCACGTGGCACCCGCTTATCTTCCACCGCACCCGTCGCGACAACTGTCTCTCCTGCTCTCTCAGTACGCCCCGCTACCCAGCCTTGGATCTCGTTGATGCGAAACATTGAAGGACGGGAGCGGCTCGTTGGCGAGGGCAGAGCGCAGACAATGGCGGACACGCGCTGATTCAAAACGCAAGGACAGGAGATGGCATCGACTGGGATGAAGAGCGGAAACCCAGAAGCCCACACTCGGAAACACGTGGCGCGATTGCGAGGCAGCGAAGGCGATGGCCGATGTCGCGGAGGTCACGTCGCGTTCGAATGCGCTCGTGGGCGGGAGATGCGAATGGGTTGCACCAAACCCGAGGTAGCTGTTCACTGGCATCCAAATCCGTCCTCCAACTGCCGCGGGACCGCACGGAAAGACCAGCCCGCCGTGATTTTGGACGACAAACGTCGACCGTCCGATCTGCAAATCGGACGCCCAGACGGTGACTTCGTTGTTTAGGCTGGCGCAACCGCCACCGCCAACGACCCCCAAC